GACAAGTTGGGTATCGTTTTCAAGGTATTTGGGGGTGCTCATTACGAATATAGCCTTTATTTCTAAATCCAAGATGGCGGACACGAGTTTTCAAATAAATGCAATACGGGTATCATTTTCGAGGTATTTGGGGGTGCTCATTACAAATATGGCACTCATTTCTAAATCCAAGATGGCGGGCACGATTTTTCAAAAAAATGCTATATGGGTATCATTTTCGAGGTATTTGGGGATGCTCAATGTGAATAAGGCACTATTTGTAAATCCAAGATGACGGGCACGTGTCTGCCATCTTGGATTTAGTACCATATTCGTATTGAACATTCCCAAATACCTCGAAAAGTATACCCATATAGCATTTTGTGAAAAATCGTGTCCGCCATCTTGGATTTACAAATAAGTGCTATATTCGTAATGAGCACCCCCAAATATCTCGAAAACGATACCCAACTTGCCCTTATTCGAAAAACCACGCCCGCCATCTTGGATTTAGAAATGAGTGCCATATTCGTAATGAGTATCCCCAAATACCTCGAAAAGGATACCCACATTGCATTTTTTTGAAATATCGTGTCCGCCATCTTGGATTTAGAAATCAGTGCTATATTCGTAATGAGCACCCCCAAATACCCCGTAAACGATACCCAGAATCAAAATCAAAATAATCTTTATTTCATAGGTAAGCATTATTACACTTCAAAATCGTCACATTGGTTAAAATCTACCGCTCATTCGTAAGGCAGATTCCCCCGAGAAGTATGAGCAAGAAACTCTAGGGGTTGCTCTTTGTAAACAACATTTGTACGCATTCAACTTGCAGAAATGGAGGTCAAATGCATATTACATTAGAATAAAAAAAAATCTGCAGCCATCGCGATATTGCCTATTCTCAAAAAATTACGTAATATAATTATTTCGAAACAGAATAGCAAAATTGGGAGAAAGAAATTCGTTACTTTGCAACATTTTCGTGTCTTGTTGCAACGAAATTAATTTTCGGTTTTAGTGAATATTTATATAAAAATACAAGTTGAAACGCGTTACTTCCTTGTGGGATGTGATGTTAGTATCTATTTTATGTTTGTCGGACGTATATTATTTTTACACTCATTTACCGCACATTTCGTCATTTTTAGCTAAAATTCTTGAGCTGTTCGCGGTGCAAGTTGACCTTGAGCACAGAAGGCCCGCCCGCTCGTGTAGGCCCATTGGGAGTGCTTCAATTTGCCTCACTTAGCGTGTGCGGACTAGGTTTCTATGCGTTATTATTCTAAGGGGCAATGTTTACCAGAGACTTAAGATTTTTTCTCTCAATTACGAGCAATCAAATAAAAATGTATACATATGTTTTATTTATATTTAATTGATTCATTATTAACGAATAAATTGATTTATTTTTAAAATACTTTAAATTTAAATTTGACAATCATTTTAAAATAAAATCATTTTACTTTCTGAATATATTTGTTTAGATTTATTTATTTTCATTGTAATAATATTATGATTAATAATTATGTTAAAAATTGACATTGCTGCGCCCTTACAGGGTATATTATGTTTGATACTTTACCAACCACTATAAGACCTAATGTAACAACATGTTTTGCAATAAACGATATTATTATTATTATTATGCGTTTAAAACTGTCATAATTCCTATTAAGTACCAAAAAATTGAAAGGTATATCTCGAAAAACAAAAAATTTAGAGATTTTAATCCGTAACTGACCTTCAATTTCCCATAGAGCGACGCTCAGAAGCACGCCCGCGTGGAATGGTGCTGTGACATGATTGCTAAGTTTGAAGCAGGCTCGTCTCGGTGCGTTTACGATATTATAATATTACAGGTTAAGAACCTTGGGTTTGACAAGATCCAGAAACGAAGCACCAGTCGACGGTTTGGATGTTTCAAATCGAACCAATGTCTACCAAAATTAAACAATCCAGAAGCGAAAAGAAGATTTTGATCGCTAGTCTTTTTATTTACACGAGGTATCTGGCATCTGGGGGCCTACCACAACCTCTCTAAGCAATATTACTTTAACCCAACGAATTCAATTTATGGACAAGAACATGCACAGCAATCATAATAATATGTTCCAAGACATAAAAAACAAAATACTGTCCATATTGACAGTGTTTTGTTTTAGTGTTGAATTTTGTGAAAGAGCATCAGTACCGTAGTACCGTGGACAGACGTGACAATCTATACCCATTGTGAATGCGTTAGCGGATAATATTGAGTGGTTACCAATGATATTTATCCATAGTTAAGGAATATTTCATTTTATTTTGCTTTGACACAGGGGCAACAACAAATTAAGTAAAAGAAAAAAGTACAGTTGTGTTGTTGAAATTATTGATGTTATACTTTTCCTTGCAGAAAGGCAAAGATCTTTAGATTATGCAGCCTACTCAAGTACATAGATATCGTTGAACATAGTCTTTTTTCATATTTTTAAATTTATACGGTCCCCTCAGTAACTGTTTTAATCACATTATACATACTCTGTTATTGTGTAGTCAAAACACTCTGCTGCTAATTAATCTGCGATTTATGTTTTGTCTTGGTTTAACACGCGTCATTACATGCTTGCAAAACGAGAGAGTGTGAAATTTTGTATGCTATTTCGCGGTTATCAAATATTATAATGCAAATATTAATCAAAATCCACAACATTACTTGCCGAATCAATGTGAATAATTTAAAACTTTAAATTTATGTTTACGTGTGTATTTTATATGAATGCTACAAGTAATCGAATCTACGAATTATTACGGAGAACGGGGTCGGGACCCTCGTGTGGGTCTCAGAAAGAATGTAGAAATGTATGCAAAATTGAGTCGTAATTTCACGACGCGTTTCACGCCCGCAGCGGAGACGGTCGCCCGCGGCGCCGGCGGCCGCAGACCGCGCGGGACGCGATCCCCCGCGCGCTCGGCGGGCGTCGCCCGCGCTCTCCGCCGTCGGTTCGCGGCGACGCGTTGCACGCGCGCGGTTTGGATCTTCCCACGCCATTCTGTGATTGATTTTCGATTTGGCAGCGCGTGTCGATTTCTCAAGTTATGGATGTTGAAGTCGATCAATTAATTTCCTACCAGTTACTATTTTTCTTAAAAGTTCTGAATAAGTAGATACGGACATCCGAATAAAATTAAAGAATTTGTCTTCTTGTTTTTTAACTCATTAATAAGAACAACGAATAATCAGTAACGATTCCTTTCCGGAATCAGAGGATGCACCCTGAATCTTTTAGACCTTCTTCTTTTAATTCTTCGATGAAGTAAGTATAACGCGATAGCTCGTTTTTTATGTGAGTCCATTGCGACGTCAGAGACTTAACTGACGACCTCAATTGTTCGGATCCTCTCCCGCCAAGTTTGCAGGCCGTTCCGCAACCGCGGCGGCTACGTGATCGCACAAACCTGCGGTATCGTGAGTGTTGGAATAAAACAGCTGTCCCGCAACAGCAGCGGGCGCGGGTCAAAACCACTTCGTGAGTTCTGTCTCTTAGTGGGGGCCTATTATGAGCTCTTAGAGCAATCCTATTTAAGCCTGTAAGTTGGATTGCCTGTCAAATTCGTACTATGACCTCACAAAAACAATTCACTGTCCATGCAGTTTACGTGCCCCATTCGTAATCCGTTCACCTTTTCTTTCATAACAAAATCGTATCATGACGTGCCATTTGCCATGCAAGTGGCGGTCTCATCCGTAAAAATAAGTAATTCAAAAAAAGTTACTCCTTTACTAACTTTTTTGGATTTTGTTAAATTTTTAAGAAATTTCGTTTAAGTTTTATTGCATTTTCAGTTCCATAATAATTTGTTATTTTTTTTAGGTTATTTGTCAATAAATAAATGCTATTTATTAACTATTGAGCCGTATTGAGTGTTTTTTTTAATTTTAGTTCGAATTACCAATCTTCAAAGTAGTGTTGATAAATTATTGGCATGAATGTTATTTAAATTTTTAAATGGAATTTTAATCATTTTAATAATTTTATTGACTTAGCGAAAATCGTAAAATAACTTATAAATAGTGCCAAATTTGACTATAATGCAATCAATGAAAATGTACGAATACAACATACGTTCCAATTGTGTTATCAAATTACAAAGTCACCTTATTAATTTACGTGATAATGACTAGACATGACAAGTAATTTTGTCGTACAATAAATTGTAAAGTATGACTGAAAAATTGTCAATATTACAAAACAACGTAATAAGTATAATCAATATGTAATAAAATTAATAAAAATATATAATTATTCTCATGAACACAATCGGTTAATAGGGCTTGAACGCTCCCAAGATAGTACATCTATCTATTTCTTTCATATGATTTGGTATGTAGTTCCATCTCGCTCTTATTAGATGTCAGCTAGCCAACCAGAGACAATATTATATATCATTATAATACTCACCATCCCGCCATGCTATTTCCGTTCAATTTTCTGTAGGTCATGCTTAGGTCATGATACGAATTTAAGCAATTCAGGTTTACCACGTCAAGTGAATTACATGGAACTGGGCTGACTGCTTATAAGCTCATAGTAGGCCCCAGGGCAGTCTACAACATTAGTGGTGACTTGAATAAGATAGCTGACATTTGCTGTTTCACGACGTGATTGAAGGGATGACGTGGTGTCGTCTAGAGATATCTAAATAGTAACAAGTTAGCTAAGGACAATTATTTTTGTTCTGTAATCTTTCGATAGGTGAGAAATAAGTGTTATATAACCTCCTTTACATGATCTGACAGGCTTATTACAAATTGCTACACACAAGAGCACGATATAATGAACATCTTTAAAATCTACTGAACTGCGCATCTCGGAACCCAGCGCCCTAGTGGCTAACTACGGCATCAATATGAGACCGAAAGAAATAAAAATGTACACGGCCAAAGCAAATTCGTACAGCTCCGCAGAGCAGACTCGACGCATTACCGCTCGGACTAAGTGGGCGCCGCGTCGAAGGGGCGTCGGCGGTACCTTTGATGAGCGTGGCGGCGAGCAGCAGCAGCGCGGCGCGCGCGTGCAGCCTGGCGCTGGCGCTGGCGCACATGGCGCTGCGCGCGCGAACGGGGCTCGCGAACGCTCTGCAACAACACACAAACTGCCGTCACTCGTTACCAACACGACAGGCGTGTACACTATTGTGACAATGTCACTTCTGCCCACATCTCCGGCGCACCGTCCATATTACGAGTTTTGCTCCCTCAAATACACGAGTAAAGGCACGAGACGCAAATAAGCGAGGAGACTGCTGGGCATCTGTGATGCGTTGGTGTAAAATTGCAGGAAAAGCGTGTACCACACATTAAACTTAATGATGCCAATCTGACACGTGTGTACAGTTTTAAATATCTTGGGCATTATATTGCGACCTTGATGATCAGGTGGACATTGAGAGGGTAAGTAGGGCGATCACAAGTAATATGTTGGCACGCAGGTTTGCTCGTTGCAATAGGCAAGTAAAAATTACACTGTTCAGAGCCTTCTGCCAATCATATTATACGAACAGCCTGTGGTTTAATAATACTCAACTTTTTTTATATTTATACTAAATTATACTTTTAGAATGTTGATGGGGCTGCCTCGTTTCTGCAGTGCATCTACCATGTTTGCAGAGGCGCGGGTAGATGACTTGTACGCCATCATCCGCAAAAAACATCCTCACTGCTCAGCAGGCTGCGGGGCAGCACCAACATCATTCAACAGGTCACACCTGACGAATATGAACTGCCTGTAATGAAGTCTTTGATTCGGGTCCTGATCAAATAGTCTCATATATTTGATCGGGAGGCGAGTGAAACCGCTTCTCGAGCTGAGGCCGAGGGTTCGAATCCGGACTTGCACCACTGAGTTTCTCAGAATTCATAAGACAAAATTTAATTTCAAGCTTTTCGGCTAAGGAAAATCGTGATGAAACCTGCGCGTCGAAGAAGGTGGATACACACAACCCTCGGAAAACGTGGGAAGTCCCCAACCCACATTGGGCCAATGTGGCGGCCTATGGCCACCGAGGCAAGTACTAAGCCAAGACCTAAAATACACGAGGCCTCAACAAGAAACGACCCGAAATACACTGGTTAGTAAGCCATTAGATAAGTTACAATATTTTTATAACTCATGGAAAAGCTCAACGTTGATTAGGATCAACTATAACTAACTATAGGTAGTTTGGTCATGGATTTACGGTCACGTGATTATTTTTATGTCTCAACCTTTTCAAACTGTCTTCCCAAATAGTAAGTCCAGGAGTCAAATGGGCTCATTTGAACTGAAACAATTCGATACCGAATTAGTCAATTTGCTTAACAATGGTGCAATTTCAGTATGTGAGAGGGAACAAGGACATTATTAATCCAGTGTTTTTCTTATAGGTACCCAAACCAAATGGTGACAAGCGGTATGTGCTAAATCGGAAAAATTTAAATAAGTTTGTCAAACCTGTGCATTTTAAAATTGAAGATTTAAGAACAGCGATTAAATTAATTTCTCCTGGCTTCTACTTAGCAACAATCGGTTCACAAGATTCACAAGATGCTTATTTTTTAATGCCAATCCATACTGACAACAATGTCTGTCTCGTAGAGGACATACAGAGCTTAAAATAAACTATTTAAGGTATTTCACAGGTTTAATTACTAGCTTAAGTACAATTTTGAATTTTGGTTTAATAAGAGACCCGAGTAGAACAAAGATCGAAAGTGAAGGAAATTCATGTGCGGTAGTAATACAAAAAGACAAGCCGGCAAGTTAGTGCCTGGTGAATTAGTTTTCGCAATAATGTAAGTACAAATAAGCTCAAATGAGGTAGGCGTGAACAAATACATTCATATTTAACCGACTTCAAAAAAGGAGGAGGTTCTCAATTCGTCTGTATGTTCTTTTTTTTGTATGTATGTTACGCGATAACTCCGGTATTTGTGAACCGATTTTCATGATTCTTTTTTGTTGGAAAGGGGGTACTTCCATAGTGATCCCATTTCATTTTGAAGAAAACTATCCACCTCGAAGGGTGACTGTTCACGCATGGACATTCATTTTTATAAATAGCGCCTAACTTTAATTTAGAGGAATTACTTTAATGGTTGATTTTGCTATTTCTCCAATTTGAGGCGTTTTCTCTCAATATACTTTGAGTACTGAGAGCCGATTTTTATTATCTCCAGTGTCAAGTCCTGTATAGTGGCGAATTTAAGGATATTTCAATAAAACTTAGCAAATAGACGTAATTCCACTTACTTTTGAGTTCGGTTTTTTTTAGTACTCTGTACTGAGATTATGAATTTCAACACAGAGTTTGTGAATTTTTTAATGTCCCGTTTGGATGAGTTCAGCCCTTCTGGAATTCACAAAAATCATGGAACACTTACGACTACATGGCTTTTTGTTTTCATTGTTTATTTAGATGATATTTATTTTTCTAAAATTGGTAGAATTTATACGCAAAGATTTTTTTGGGTTTTGGTGGCAAGGAGAAATTTGAGCGCCGACAGGGAGCGCGGTGAGGGTGAATTAGTCAATGGTCCAGCGCACGCTGAACGATTATTTCGATTAAAAATAAAAAAATTATAGACATTTGAAATGAATACTTCTATTGCTTCGATGCAACTTGACGAAAATGCGCTTAAGCTATAATGTAATTGTAACATCAATATATTGTTAAAAAATAAAAATAAAATATTTTTTTATATATATTATTATGTAGCGTAAATCGGAATCTTCTTTGAAATATTAAAATGTAACTAAATAAAATTGATGACTTTATCATCTCGGTCAACCGTAACCACTGGATCTGCAAGAGGACCTGAAACGTTGGTTTGTTTGAAAAAATATAATCTCAGTACTAAAAAAACCGACCTCAAAAGTACGTGGAATTACATCTATTTGCCAGGTTTTATTGAAATATCGCCTAGTTCGCCACTATACAGGACTTGACACAGGAGATAATAAAAACCGGTTCTCACTACTCAAAGTATATCGAGAGAGAAAAACGCCTTGAATTGGAGAATAACAAAATCAGCCATTAAAATAATAAATAAAGAGAATAAATAAAGAGAATAACAAAATCAACCATTAAAATAATTGCTCCTTATAATAAAATTTACGCACTATTCATAGAAATGAATCTTCATGCGTGAACAGCCACCTTTAGATGGGGATGATTTTCTTCAAAATTAAATGGGACCACTATGAAGGTACCCTCTTTCCAACAAAAAAAGAATCATGAAAATCGGTTCACAAATGCCGGAGTTATTGCGTAACATACATACAAAAAAACATACAGTCGAATTGAGAACCTCTTAAAAAATACGAGATTCAGTTCCAAAAAATTGTTTCATTTCCAAAGTGTAGCAATAGTGAGAATCTCAGAACTCGATGAGACTGTATGGTGTCGCCCCTGCGGTGTATCGCGCCGCCGGCGGCCGTTCCACAGTTGCGTCGGTTGCGATAGAGTGCCTACTCTGCTAATAAGGCACCGCACAAACGTGTGTCTTGTGTTGGATACAAGCAACCGGCAACTAGAAGCGCATGTTCTCTTTTCATAAATTGCGGATGCCGCAACCGGCGACTGTGTCGACTTCATATTAATTGAAATAGAATGAATGTTAATGAAAATAGAATGTTCGCTTCTAGTTGCCGATTGCTTGTGTCCAATACAAGACACGCGTTCGCGCGGCGCCTAACATCGTTCCAGATACTTTATTGCTGCCAATCACGCTCCAATGTAATCGCTTCGTCCTCCATGAACTCCATGTGACTGCAAGCTATAGGAAGTACAATTCGTTCGTACGCTAAGATGTACGCAGTAATTAAATTTCCGCGGCATCGAGCGCTCGTAACTAAACTAGCGAATAAAATAATAGGCGCCGCGGGAGAGGTCAGCCGGCTCGTAAACCTGATTACAGCACCGCGCCCTCGCGGCACCGTGCCCCTGCCCCAACTCACTTGCTCTCTTTTCCAATGCTCATCATTATTGCTGCTGATCCATTATGCAATCATCACTATAACTTCAACGAATACCTTGAGTTAATTACCTTTATTTGCGGGGTGACGTGTCAGTTTCTGACAATAAAATTCGGGATGCTCTTCATACAAATGGTATGTTGTGTCAAAGAAATAAGTACATTAGTTAACTGTCGCAATTTAGTAGCAGAAGAGCTCCTTGTGAAAGAAATTGTCCAGGGAAGAACTGCGACCTCACCTATTTCTGACGCCAAGCAGTAATGTCAGCTTTACTGTGACTGTGTGAGGGTGCTGGTGAAATTACAGGCACATAGGACTTATCAACTTACGTCTCAGGGCGACGGGCGCAGTGGCAGTGCTCCTCAGATGTTTGCGATTTAAAGCTCTGAGTGGCACTGCAACTGTTATGGACAGGCGTGGAGCTTACTATCAGGCGCGCCACTTGTTCGTTCCGTCACTTCGTATTATAAAAAAAAGTTGAAACTTGTGCTTGTTTGATTTATGTTTAATATTCAGAAAAGAATTAAAATCCAACTTCTGTGGCTTAATTTGCTGCAAATTGCAATGTGTGTCGGCCACTAGTCGTGCATCGATTTCGGGAATAGCTTCTCTGCGAATATCTGTCGCATGTTAATCAACATTATCATAGATAACGATGTTGGTTCTCTGCACAATAAAACTATAAACGTCTTCTGACATCATCGAATTGTAACTTTTCTAATATTTTGTTCGTCATTCGTTTGGAACCGTGATTTATTTTGACAAACACACTTTTTTTTATTTCTTTTTTTTTTTCACACACACGCAACATTCATAGCCTCGCACTAAGGAAACCCTGTGTCGCGGGGGCCATGGACACACACATAAACAACCACAAATTACACCCAAACTTACGAGAGAAATAAGTATGGGCCATACACATATTTCTCGCGGCCTGGGAATCGAGCCCAGGGCCTCTGCGTGGCAGTCCGATATGGTAACAGTTCGGCCTTGTATTGTTTGTCATCGATACTACATAGGGCGCACTACAAGATTCGGGAACTGGCCACTCACATAAACAATATTTAAAAGTAATTACAACATTTGAAA